CGAAGCCATGTCTCGTTGCGCAAAGTCATTAAGAGGTATATTAACCATTAACCGGACAGTCAATTACTGACAGTTATTGTTACAGTAAATGAACGCATATTCCCAAAATTGGTAAGCGCAAGTAAATTTTCGTTAAAGCATCACAAACTTGATCGGTCGAATAGAAGATCACACGAATGTTTAAATAATCACGTGTACGTATATTCACGACGATCTGTTTGAAATAGCGTGGTGCAGCCGCAGCCACCATAATCCGGTTTAAAGGTTGATAACTACCGGAAGGGAGGCGAAGAGCTAAAGACAGGCAATCACCGTGAAATACACCGGGCACGGGAGTAATGAATTTCTTATATAACGATTGGATGGTACGCTGCGTTAGATAATACACGTTAGACTACGATAAATTACGTTTGGATTAGGTAATACAAGCTCATTTCTGTACCAACGAAATCGCAGGTGAGGAAGTAGGTTAGTGATTGAAGAACTACATATTTGATCGGAATTCGTTTCAAAATTGCATCGATCGCGATGCGATCAGATGCAGATGTATGCGGCTTGGATTGCGAACATTGTGGCCAAGGGGATGAGTTCAGTAAATCGTGAATACGGGACGGATGACTATACGATTGCGATCGTCGTTGCCATTGAAAGGTTTTAAGTTAATCGTCGATGCGTAAAAGACTATTGAAATATTGACGGTGTGTAAACCGTCGATGCGACGAGCTCGAAGATGATCGTGACCGTCGCGAAGCGAGTCGGTGGATGCGATGTTACCGAATATCCAATATCCCTGTGTCTTGGCTTCGATTAATGCCGGTTGAAACGTCTTCTTATAGAAGCCGTTGCGCAATCGAGCGGTCCAGGAAAGTTGGCTGGATCAAACACAAGAAAGCATTTCGAAAGCGTATTTATTTAAACCCGTTATTGCGTAACGCGGCGTTACATGCGCTCGGTTACAAGCAGAGGTTACGATGCCGCGTAAGTTTCGATTTAGAACTCGTGTGTATGCAGTTAACCGGCCAGCATGCGATTGTTTGTGTACGCGATCATTGTAAATAAATGAAAAAAGAAAAAACGAACGATCGATCGCCGCGCACAGGGGATCGACAAATAAAATTACTTCGTCACACTTGGCTGTCCGTTCTTTCAAACCTGAAATGTTATACGAGTGGTTTATGCTTGAACAATGATTTGCGCGAATAATCATTAACGATCGCGAATTCAGAAGCTTGAACACTGGATCTCGAAAGTGGTGAGGACTCGACAGGAGTCATCGATTGCCAAGTTCGAAGCAGAATCTACTGTTTGGTTGACGCTGAACCTACCGTGCTCTGGAACTAACTAACGCTTGTTATCTTATAACAATGAGAAAACCAAACTGCATTCATTCGTCATTTTCGTTATAATGTATGCTTGGATTAAGAAATTCGTTCGATTGTTTCCTGTGAAAACATTTTTATAAGTTGTGTAACTTGAAAGGAAAAAAAATGTGAAACTGGTCATTTTACTCGGGCCGGTCGGTTTGGTGTTGAACAGACGATAATAAGATAGATATAGTAAGTGGTAAATAATATTTGATTTAGTAAGCAGCTATAGAAATTAGTTTATTGAATACTGCTTTTAATCAGCATCAAATATTCAATTAACCTCCGCACACCTGTAAAGGAGGGAGAATGACGAGCAACAGGTGGGCAGTACGTGAATAGTAGTACGCACTAGTCAACAGCGAATAAACTTCAGGACAACGTAGGTAATCAATAAAAACAAGCAGTACCAATTAAATATTAATTCCTCCCAGTATTAACCCTCGGACAGTGGACCGATTTCGCAAATATACAATTAACAGTATTTATGATCATTCTCAGTTTCACTAATTAATTTCTACAAACATATTTCTGCAGATACTCCTTGCAGAACTATTAGGTCTACCGGAATGTTCTGTCCGTTTTTGAATTGAAATATAACACAATTTTCATACATTTAATAATATTTATCGTAGAATATACTTTCCATCGCTACTTATGACTTCTTGCCAGCGCGATGGCAACTTGTAAATGCCATTTTTTTAAAATGATTTATTTTTAGAGGCGAAGAACTCAACCAGTGCTTGGTTGACATCAGCTTCAGTTTTGAATGTTTTTTCCTGTAAAAAGTTTTGCAAAGAGAGAAACAAGTGATAATCGGAGGGTGCTAGGTCTGGGGAGTATGGTGGATG